CAGCGCGGAGTCTGCTCTACAAAACCCTATACACGGCAATCGAAACATGCCGACAAAAATCATAACTGCAAGTTCTGAGAAAGAAATGAAAACATATTTTATGATTAATTCGTGGCATATGATCAAATGAAGAAAAGGTAAACTCCAATTCTGTGGAGACTCGTGGAGTCTCTTGGAGTCCCCAAAAATATTATCGGAAATCGCTGTAGTTACATTAGAAAATTTCTTTGAAAACTGTCTGTTTCAATTCTTAGTATCGAGTTTTCTTGAATTGTAAAAACAGTTTTAAATTATGACTTGATTGTACCGATAAACGGTTTATGACAAAGATCGATTTTCTTCATAAAATTCCCCCTACATGCTCATTGTTATTTTCGTGATTGTTGTTGTTATAGCTATTATCAAAGTCTGACTGTCATTATGATACTATAGGTAAGGGAATGATGAAATATAAGCAGAGACTGGAAGCTTAAAAGTCAATTCTGAATCTATGCGTAAGTTAATCTCAACAATATATACTCCAGAACATTAAGAACCTTCAATTTGAGTTTTAGTAATAAGGATATCTCAGTCAATGAACATCTACAAGTAACCATTATTTGATGATAGATGAGTCTCATTGGTAATTACAGAAGTTTCTTTCATAATGTATTTTCTAAAATGAAGGTAGATGTCTGTTGATATTTCCCATCAATGATGATGAATGTGTTGAATTTAGTATCATTTTTATTGATATTAATCACGTCTTGTTCGATTTTGAATTCATAAAGATTATTATCGATGTGATAAGCGTAAAACACAGTAAAAAAGGCTACTGAAAAATTAACAACTAGCGCAAAAAGAAATATATTATTAAAATACCTGCAAAGTAATAACTAAACGTGAAAAAGAAATCGACCAGTATTCAGATCAGTATATCAGCAGCAGAAAACGTATGTATAATTTTTTGTTTGAACTGATAAATTCTAATAGAAAAATTGGTATGGCCAATGATTTTATCGTTAAAAAGACTATACAGATCAAGTAGAAGTTTCTTTACACATAAACTGTGTTTGAAGAAACTAGATATCAACGAAAAATTAGACATCTTCCTTTCACCCAAAGCTTTACTATTTCAAGCTAAAAAAATCCAAACCATTGAAACGGTTCTTTGTGAACAAGCAAAGCTTGACACTCTTTCCATGTTTTTTTTTGTATCACATGTCAAAACTGTCATTCATAAGTTCAATATTAACAAAATGAGATAAAAAAAATTTATGTGTGGGCATTCATGTTCGTGTTTGTCTAACTGATCTCATGCAAAAACTGACTATCGACTAGTTTTCGTTAGTTTTTTTACGGCATTGTATGAATTACTTAGTCGTTACACTAAATGCCGACAATAGATGAAATGATCTACCTACATTTGAATTTAAACATTAAGTAGAAACTATTTTGTGGTTGATTTAGATCATCTCTTATAATTTAGTGTCTTATTTTCTGTAATAATAATGCATAGATAAGAAAATATGTAATATTCTTCTTTTGAGGAGTCCAGAAGTATTTGGAGTCCCAGAGTTTGCCGTTTCCTCCTTGCATGCGGTCGTTGAACAAAGTTTCCAATGCACTTATAATCAATATTTTCTCTTCTTCCATTAAACTATTCTTTTTAAAGTTGCTAAAGAATTTTGAAAGAATTGAATTTCAATTTTATTTCATAAACCCTTACAATAAATACTTAGAAATATTCAGATAAAAACCACTTTGCATAAGTAGCTAGTTCTGATTATGAGTAAATTAGTAATGGTCTTGAAATTTGAATTAATACCTTTACAAGCATGATTCAAAGCTTCTTCAACGATTTCTTCACTTTGATTATTAATTGCACTTGTACCTATATATATTAATTAATCATTAGTATAGTTGCATTATAAGAAGCGGTATCCGCGGAAAAAACCTCCATAATATATAAACATTGGTAAGTTGAAAATAAAGCGGCTAACAATAGCATTAAAAATGAAATAATTAGATGAAGTATTGAATCGAAATGGTTCAAATTATCACAGAGATAAATATTGTACTACTTCATGATCTAAATTTCATGGTTATTCAAAAATAAAAGAGAAATATTTATATTCTAAAACATGTTTGAATGAGTTCTTTTATTGACGTTCGAATAGAGAAGAGAAGCTGAAGAATAGAGAATTTCATACAAATTTTCTTATGGTATGTTCTTTTCAAAGAGATCATCTGCTCGATGTTCTCATTTATAACAAAAGTAGTCTCATCTTGTTCCATGTTGTAATCACCATAGAATTTCAACAGATGGTTTTTCTTAAGCATAGTTACTAAAAATCCACTTCATACTATATTGATTGTGATAAACGGTCTCATTCCTAGTAAGCAAATTCTATATTATATGATTAAAAAGAAAACTTTCTAAAATTTGAATATTGATGGCATATTAAATAACTATGAAAAGAATCAAGATAATTAAAATTTACAATATTTATTAAACAAATCAATTTTACATTGTAAAAAAACATAAAGAATATTATTCAATAATATTTAATTGTATATAGTCAAATAAAATATTGCGATAGCCATAACCAAATCTAATTCGAAAGCCAAAATAAATATTCGATAATTCGAATACTTTGATTTTACCCATTGTTTCATTAAACCAATTAGTATTTCCATATAATAAATAGTTTGATTCAAACCAATCAAAATTCATTTTTTCTCGATTACATTCGCAATCAAGACCATGATCAGCTAAAGCATAAAAATAACATTCTATTTCTTTTTCTGTTTCCTGAAATTCACTACAACATTCATTATAGTATGTTAAATAGTTATTGTTCTTATCCAGTTTAATACGACATACGATTTCATAGATTCCAGGTAATATTGATTTAAATTTACCTTTTATACCACTTAAATCCATCCATTGAGTTGTATATAAACGGACACATCGACCTGCTGAACTATTTGGATCATATTCATGATTTAAATATTCCTGCTTTAGATATTTTCGCATGGGACAGGATCTATGACATGGTGTACAACGAAGATCTATGCCCGACAAATCAACACCTAATAAACGTTTAGCTTCAATAAAATAATAATAAATTAATTTACACATTGATATTTGTCGAATATTTTCATCATTTAAATAATTATTTCTATTCAAATAAGATTCATAGAATTCTTCAATTGTTAAAGACATTTTTAATGTATTTGTACGTGGACGTCGTTTTTGTCTAATTATACTTTTATAAGCTATATAACCATCACTATTATCTTTACCATTTAATACATTCCATAACCAAATATTACACATTTCCCACTCTAAATGTCGTCGAAAATATTTTTGAAACTTTTGTATATCTTCTTCTGTTCGATATAAATCATAATCAGAATTTTTCTTGTTTTGAAATATTTCATTAAAATAACGATGATATAATCTCGATCCAAAATGATTTTGAATTAACATCATCCAAAAATAATCATTATTTTCAATTAACGTATAGAATTTTTTGCATGTTTTTGATAAATTTATAACATCGACGAAAGATAAATATTTACATATATTATATAAAACATGATGTGGAACATCATTTATATTCATTTTAATCTGAAAAAAAAGCATAATGTAATAAATCATCTGGCAAAGAAAAAAAAAATCATAATGTAAATAAATCATCTGACAAAGAAAAAAAAATCATAATGTAATAAATCATCTGACAAAGAAAAACAAACAAAAAAAATCAGTTTTTGAACCAATACCATCACGATCAATCACCTTCATCAGCATTATCATCATTGTCACCATTGTCACTGTCCTATCGTTAAGAACAATTTAAGATTAATAAAAAAAACACAAATAAAGCTTACGGAGAGTGTTATTCAATGTTCACTCCTAAAAAAAAACATTTACGTTTTAATAATTATAGATAAATTAAATTAATGAATACTTACATAAATGAATCAAAATCATTTTTGTGATCTAAAACAGCAAAAAAAAAATAAATGATTAGAAGTACAAAATATTTTCTTACTTTATTAATCATTGGCATTCGGTCAGTTCGTCGTTTTTCTTTTTGTTACATCATCGAGTAACCGGATATTATTATTGATCGATTTAAATATATCCTTGAAGTTATCGTACGATTGAACATTTGCTGTTTTCTAAAATAATCCAAAAAAATTGATTTATTTTGTGTTTTTCAATAATGTTTTACTCACAAAACATTCTCGTAAAGCTTCAAGAAAGTAGATCAAGACTTTTAATCCCTTGGTAATATTTTGTACTTGTGTTTCATGACCTAACCATTGGTTAAACGCATATTCAGCATCGGCATTACCATCGTTGAAAATAAAAATCATAGCATTAAAATACACTAAAAATTAAAAAAATTAAAAAAATTTTTTTTAGGATTTAAATATCTACTTTGTCGATCGTGTATCATCACAATAATCGCAAATGATATAGATTAAACAATATAACATTCGTTTATCAATGGAATTTAATTCGTTTAAATCGGTTATCGTCGGAACACGATGATATAAATTCATCGTTGCATCGAAAATCGATTTTGCAACTTGATCATCGACCTGATAATGACCAACTAAGTGACCACTTATCTTTGATTCCAATGTTTCCAATGGAAGTGCCTCCCCAGGTTAATCAATCCGACACGGATCCGATGGTATCTTATAGGATCCAACGAGTCCTACAAAATCCGATCGGAATCCGGGTCACGATCCGACGAACAAATCCTAGTGTTGGAATCCGAGAGACATCCGATCGGATCCGACAGAGATCCGATCAAATTCAACAGTCGGATTCGATAGGAACTCCAGCGGTCGGATTCCGACGAGATTCCTATAGTATCCGATCGGATTCCAATACTATGGATCCGTTAGTCGGATCGTGACCCGGATCCAATAAAATCCTATAGGATCTGGATAGGATTCGATAGGATTCGATGGGATCCACTGTCGGATTGTTCGTCCTGGGTCGGCCATAGATAAAGTTTTTGCTGTATCTCAACAAGATACTTTTCACTGAACAAAGATGAACTAAAATTGAGTTAATAAATGCTTTGAATAATGCTGAAAATTAATCTAAAATGAATTAATTAAATTTTCAATGATTTTTTGTTTATCAACACCAAGTTGTGGATGTATTAGATCGAAGTGATTAATATAAACTTTTGTTGAGATTTTTTGACATATACATAAAAGATCATTTAAAGTACAATGATGTTGAATTATTTATGCTGCTTCTTCAATTGTTTTTTTTGTCTAATTACTATCGATATAGAAAAAAAGATTTCAATAAGTTTCTTTATCAATTTTATAACTCAATTCGTGGATTCTGAAAGATTTTTGTCAATTCAATTGAAATCGATTTATGAATCGAATTGAATTTTCCAGCTCTGTTCCTTTGAAATCGTGTTTCATAAATAGAATTGAAAAGAAGAAATATTCAATTGCATTTGTTATTGAGCGAAGACCACCTTGAAGAGCATCTTTCAATTGATTTAATATATATATTGTTGAACCTTTGTAACTGATCTGGAATCTTTCCAACCTTGAACAAATGTATATTTTCCTTCACCCTAAACAAACGTTTTAAACATAAAAATAAACTCAAATGAAAAGCATTTACCAAAACATGTTCATAAACATCTTCGACAAAACCAAGACATTCTTTTGTTAAATTGTCAATAGAACTAATTGAGAAAAAGAATTGAAATTATCATTTAAAGATACTCATGTTTTTGTACTTCATAGCTTCCCCACCACATGCTAAAGTTAACCGTTCCATATTTCGATGTTTAGCGCGTCTTAATGCCAAGATTTGGTCTTTGGCCAATACATAAAGTGAGATTGGATCAATACCTTTTTAATTGATGATAACAAATGATTTGTTTTTATCATTACCCGAACAAACCATACATGTAAAAGTCGAATAGTCGTTACGACTATTCATTCGACTTTACGACTATTCAACTATTCGACTTTTCAACTATTCGACTATTCAACTATTCAACTATTCGACTTTTCAACTATTCAACTATTCGACTATTCAACTAGTCGACTTTTCAACTATTCGATGAGGGTGCCGCATAGAGTGTCACACCACGTCTCTCTCGATGTGGGTGTCGCATAGGGTGTCACACCACGTCTCTCTTGATGTGGGTGCCGCATAGAGTGTCACACCACGTCTATCTCAATGTGGATGTCGCATAGAGTGTCACACCACGGCTGTCTCGATGTGGGTGCCGCGAAGGGTGTCACACGACGTCTATCTCGATGTGGGTGCCGCGAATGATGCTATAAACATCATCTGGGATGTTAGAAGCATCATCTGGGATGCTAGAAGCATCATCTGGGATGCTGAAAGCATCATCTTTGATGCTAGAGGCATCATCCGGGATGCTAGAGGCATAACCTGGGATGCTTTAGGCATTGTCTGCGATGCTCCGAGCATTCTAGGGAATGCTTCTAGTATCCTAGAGAATGCTTCTAGTATCCTAGAGAATACTTATAGCATCCTAGGAAATGCCTATAGCATACCAGGTGATGTCTCTAGCATGTCAGGCGATGCTATTAGCATCCGAGGAATGCCAGTAGTTGAATAGTCGAAAAGTTGAATAGTTGAATAGTCGAAAAGTTGAATAGTTGAATAGTCGAAAAGTTGAATAGTTGAAAAGTCGAATAGTTGAAAAGTTGAATAGTTGAATAGTTGAATAGTTGAATAGTCGAATAGTTGAAAGTCGAATAGTTGAATAGTCGAATAGTTGAAGAGTCGAATAGTCGTAACTTCGACTATTCAACTATTCAATAGTTGAATAGTTGAAAAGTCGTTACGACTTAACGAGTTCTACACTACTGACACAATACGGGGAATCTATTCATTCCACCGCGCCCGGTACTTTTTGAGATCGAAATTTCTAAGCTTATAACTTTCTTACTACAAGACATAGTGGAGTCAATCGATAGTCATTTTGTAGAGCGTGTTTTAATCTACCTTTTCCTCGTAGAGGCAAATTTATAGTCGTGTGTTTTACTACCGAAAGATTTATTATACAAATCGCGTCAGCATTTCTGGACCACCCTTTAGGTACTCAGTTGGTATGGTATCTCGTTGGACTGGCTACTCAGTTGTTTCCGAACTCAATCAGCCTGGACATTCAGTTGGTTCGGTACCTAGCAGAGACCGGCGGGACGACATTTTTCTTGTCTTGTCCAGCCTAAAGCTTTTCGCGACGTCCCGGTCCATCCCGTCAAAATTGTGTTTTAAAAATTATTTTGTACTAGAAAATCAGTCTGTCATCCGATGCTTGTACATGAAAACATGCCTCAGCACAGCGCCGCATTGTAGTGATTCACAGAATCATCTAGCAAAGCAGATTTCTTCCCATCTGCCAAGGATCCATCCAGCCCGTCTCGCCCTACTTTTCAATTTTCCTCTCTCGTCTCGCTAGTCTCTGGTTAGCCTGAGTACTTATTCGATTTGAGGTCCAGCTGACTAATCAGATCTGTGACTAGTGCATACTTAGTATTATACGATTCGAAAAAAAAAAGTTTTCTCTCAGCATCCTTTTACTAAAGAGAGAGAGTCTGATATTTGTCCGATTAATTTTGGGCCATAGGTTTTTTACCTTGTAATGCTTCAAATGTCTGTACAACCCGACTCATATAATCTGGTCTTTGTCGAGCAATATTCGCTATTGCACCCATCGTTGCTATTAGATTAACACTAAATAAACCAAGTTAATTTGAAAACAACGAATAAAAAATTCATACCTAGATAAATGTTGAGAAAGCGTAAATTCCAGTAGTTTTTCCATAACATCTTTTCCTTCTTGTTCAAGTTTATTTCGACATAATATTCGATGATCATCTTGTAGTAAATTAAGTGAAAACTCTTGTTCATTTGAAAGTTGGAATAATTGAAACCTATACCAAAACCACAATTATCTATCTTTGCGAACTACTAATTAATCTTTACTTGTACACGTCGAGATAAAACAAGTGTGAGCATTTCAATAAGCTTAATAGCCACTGTATGAAGTCTAGAATATTTTTCCACTAAAAAAAATCAATTCTCCTTTTCTATTTAATTTACCCATCATTATCAGAATCCAGCATAGTAATAATATTAACCATACTCTCCAACATACTCCGTACATTTTCATCAACAAGTCGAGATTTCTAAAGCCACTAAATAAAAAAACACTATTTATACAATAAACTCACTCTCTAACTCTTCTCATCTTTAAAGTCAATCTATAGATTGTAATCATACTGACAATAAGTTTTTTTGTACAAGTACATTCTAATCATAAAGTAAAAGTCGAAGACTATCAATAACTTTAACAATAACTTCTGAATCATGTTGACCAGAAAAATATTTTTATATAATAAATAAACAAATATATTTTTTAACTGACCAAGCTTCTTCAATAAATGATATGATAGTTTTTCTCACTTCAGGACTTTTATCTGTTTGAAAATCAAGTACTTCCTAAATGAATTAAATTTATCGAAAATTTTTCTGTTTCAAAAAATTTACTTCTAGAAAATTATCAAGTAAACTTGGATCTTCGAGTAAAATAAGTTCTTTTCTCATGTCGAAGATGTTGGACTCTAACACGTTCTTTTCCATATAGTGATGCTTGATTAATTAATTCAACAACCTAATACAAAGTTATATTAATACAAACAAACTTTACGATATATCTACCTTTTCTTGTATGTTTTCTGACATATTTATATATCTAAAACAAAGATTTTATTTGTAAAATGTCAATGAAAATTATCATTAATAAATTGCACAAACAGTTTTTCAGTAGAATATCGAATACTGTTTTCACTAATGGAGAAAAAATATATCAGACAAAGTATAATTTCGATTTGTGTATGTAATTCATTCTTTGTACATACACTTTTTTGCCATTGCATTGCATCGGGTTGACACAAATCTCCATAATAGAAAAGAGGGCGTTCAATGTCAGTCTATTTCGGACATATGTACATGATGTACATCCCACGAATTTTACGCACTATTTTGTCGGCGTGTTTCGATTGCCGTGTATAGGGTTTTGTAGAGCAGACTCCGCGCTG